TCTCTCTCTCTCTCTCTCTCCTCCTCTCTCTCTCTCTCTCTCTGCGCGTCGGGGGAATACAACAGCGCGCGCGCGTGCAAGAGGGCGGTTTGCATACGGCACGGTAATATTAATCGGCCGACTGATTCTGAAAATAAATAATGACGGGCTTACCGTCCGAGTATATGGGACTTCCTCCGTGCCTGCAGGCGCTGCATCCGGGTATCCCGGACGAGACCAGTGCGACTCGATCTATAATTATACAAGTTTCCACGTTACGATAATCTCGGGGGAGAGGCGATTACGTGAATCACGCCTGCCATTACCGTCGATTCCGGAGCGCGTCTTCAGCTGATTGCATTAACCGGCTACTTGATCACGGTCGATTTAAACCTTCCGTCTCTCTGCTCGCGAACGACGACTCTCGCGACTCGCGAAGAACGATCGCGGCGAGTTAAGCAACACTATTGCAACCGTGTATTTAAAATACACACGTGCGTGCTCGCGCGACAGACGCGACGATCGCAAACATTTCCGCGTCATCGGCCGCGAGAATCGTCGCTCAATTCTCGCTCCATTTTCAAACGACGGAAATTTAGCGTCGTCCCGCTTGTTTATACTTTCTCATTTATTCACGCGCCGACGATTTCGTCGGTCGTGACCGCGTTTCTGTTAGTCGGCGCGATTACACCGTTGGTTTTTTTTTTTTTTTTTCAAACGTGAACCGACGATCTGCGGCTGATCTTCTGCCCGCGGTATCGCACAAGCGAATCGGAACGATGCAGTTGCGCGCTGCAGCTTGCGAGAGAAACTCGAATATTCCGTAAATGGAGAGATCGCCGCGATGATATCTGCACCCGCGCGCCTTCAACGCGTGTTTTTCTTCGCGAAACGCGCTGACGTCATTATCAATCGCGTCTTTAGAGACGTCTGGCGACCTACCGGCACTGTGGTAATGCATCTTCCTCTTCAAGGACGCTTCCGCGGGCTTGAAGTGGAAGAAGGAGGGCGAATAGCCGCTGCCGGGAAGGGAACTGAGGGCGTCGTCGCGGTCGCGGATGACCGCGGCGGGCCCTTCGCGACCAAGAGCGGCCAGCTGGCGTCCCTTCGGCAGAAACATGGTGAGGAAGACGAAGAGCGACGTGGCCAGCAGGCCGTAGGCCAGCCAGGCCTCCCGGTCGTCCTCGCTGCCGGCCGCGAGCGAGCCGATCGCGCTGGAGATCCAGATCGGCAGCGAGAGGCCGACCGCCAGGCCGATGAAGGCCGCCTCGCGATTATTGTCTCGGACACCGCGCGCCCGTACCGCTAGACAAGTCACTGCTACCAGCAGCGCTCCGGGATACCTAGAATTTAATAACAATTGTAGATTAGAGTGGAGTTTCCTTTAACCGAAGTGAAAGTGGATAAAATTAATAAATTAAAAATTACTTAATTGAAGAGAAAATATAAAATCGGCAAAGAAAGTCGTTATAAATCATTTGGTCTTTTGAATCTTTTTGAATGTAATAAAAGAAAATTTCCAGGAATAATTAATCAAATGTGAAATATTGGAAAAGTTGCAAGGTAATAATCCACTTGATTCATCGGTCGAAGTAACTTCTGCACTTTCGCGCCGCGAAGATCGCGCGATTGTTCGCGTTATCAATGGCGCGCATCTCCGCGGCTTATCCGCTCCCGGAGGATAGGCTGTTACCGCCAATTCGACTCGCGCGAGTCACGGCGGTTAGAAGTTAGGTTTGCACTCGCGAAAGTTTACCCGAGGGAAGCCACTATCTGTCCGAGCGGTGTCTTGCAGGAGGTGGCGGACGGCGGCGCGGCCTGGCCCGGCGCGCCCGCCTGCTGCTGCACCTGGATCACCGCAGGTGGTTCGCCGTAAAACCATTGCCCGACAATGGCCACTTGCACCAACACCGCGAACACCAGCACCAGCGCCTGAAGCAGCGGAAAACAAGAGCCGTTTACGATTAACTTCCCTCTCCGCGCGTAATACTCGCGGCCGTCCACCCCGTCGATGTCGATCGCTTTAATTAAAGGTCAACGCCCCTCCCCCCCCCCTCCGTGAACACTCCGTCGCGTCAGCGCGCGTTCTTTTAACGCGTAACGTCAAAAGTGACATATAAGGCAATGAAAGTCGGAGATACGAAACTCTGATGAAAAGAGATACGCAGTCTTTCGATTCTTTTTCAGTTCAAGGTTTCTTCTCCTCGGTGAAACTTTTATCTCTTTCAGAAATCTTTATTTTTCGAAACTTATTGTCTACTTCTGTTCTCTTTTCTGAACGCTAAGGAAGGATACAACAAATGCAGGATGTACAATTGCATCTTTGAGATGTTAATTCTTGTCATCAAATTCCTATTAATGTCACTAGCGCGTCAGCGACCACTTTCTTCCAGCTAAACGCTTGAATGACAGCGTTCTTAATTACTCGAGCGTAATTACATCTCGCCGTGGTGCTCGTCGGCGGACGGGCCGTGCCGATTTTGCTTTCAGCGCGTTTTTATCGCGCCAGAAAAAGCCTCGCCGCGAGCGATCCATCGAGATCGACGTAGGCCGGGGGTAGGCGAGAGCATGTCGAACGTGAAAAATGAATGTTTATCCCGGGGTGGTGGCCGAGGTGGAGGGCTCGCGTCCCGCCACGCCTGTCATTCAGCGCGCACCAACACAACACCGCGATAATTGCCTCCGCGGTTTTTCGCGAGCGCGCGCACGCATGTAATTAATCGTCGTACGTACGGCGCGATGACGCAACGCGAGGGGGCGAGAAGAGAGGATCGGAGGAGGGAAGAAGCCGGGACGTTCAAGACCCGTTCACGACGTTACAAATGGCCGTGCGAGATGAACATCCGGATCGGCGTGTCGAGGCGGAAGAACAGAGAGAATCGAGAAACCGCGCTGCGTAACGCGAGACGAGCAAAATGATGCTACAATTTTCGTTTTTGCACGCATCTCTTCGATGCCTACTTTTGATTAGTCATGTAGATCTTCTTCGTGTCCGTCTACTGGACATCCTGCAGTTATCTCCTTCCGTTCTTCAATCGACATCAATTCGTCGATGTCTTTTTCACTTTTGATACTGCATGTTGAATATTTTGACAGGTATTAAATTAACTTTCTATCAGAATAATAATATCACATTACAATTATGCACTGCATGGAGAATAAATTTAGATAACGTTATTATTTTTTATGCAGCATGCTTAAAAATCATCTATCAGAATAATATCACATTACAATTATGCACTACATGGAGAATAAATTTAGATAACGTTATTATTTTTTATGCAGCATGCTTGAAAATCATGGTATGAACAAAACTTGATTACAGCTTCAACAAACAAATATTTAATTTACGTGTTAATCGAACTGCGCTTTGTGAAAAAAGTGGACAGATTTAACTGAAATTACACAACGCAATAGTTTACAATTCCGACGTTCTACGTGCAACCGATCATTAATATTAATTACGCTTACCTGATAAGGCGCCGGCAAATATACACCGCTGTTTAACGAGAGCAGAAAAACACATTTGACCAGTAGAGCGGCAAATACGAGGGCTGCAGGCAGGCCCACTAATCGAAAAGCGGCACAGGATAGTGGGTTTTGGCTAAGGGAAGCCGCGGCCGAGAGTCCTGCCAGGAGGAAGAGGCCCAGAAGCAGCGCCTGGCCCAGGAACAAGTGTCGTCTGTTCGGCGCCGTTGCTCTCGCCTAGAACACGATACGAATACCATGAACATTTTAAATTCAAATCTGAGTAATGCAGTTTGATGAAAAAAAATCGACGCGTCTCGAAGCAAGTTTCTACACTCATTGTCAGTAAAACTTTCCATGTGTCATGTTAATGAAAAGATAATAAAATACAATATCGCGGCATAAGAAACGTTTAATTAAAAGAAACTAAAATTATTTTTTTGAGGTGCGCCGATTATTTTATCAAATGGTGTATTTGATGGTGCCAGAATGATATTTAATCGATGATCGACATTTGATATTAAATGATATGAAAGTAATACGTGTTAGTATTACGTGTTAGTATTTTAAAAATCGAAATTGAAACGTTTAAATCGCCGAGTCATTAGTTTACGATTTCGCCAACTTGATATTCTTAATTATAATAATTACCAACTTAATATTGCCAATTATAATAATTGCAGCATCATAATCTTAAGATGCAATATTAATGTTTTAGCTAATGGATTCCGGCGTCTTACGAGTGCTATTATAAAGTCGTCGTATCTTTAACTGTATATATTTAAAGTTCTAAATGCACTTTTATCGAGTCGTTTGAGATGCTCGATGCATATGATTACGTTGAAAATGCAAGAGCGCAGCCTCCGAGTCCTGGCAATGCCGATCTCCATATCGCGCTATTAATTCCGCAAAGAGGATCGAGACGCGAGATGCGTAGCGCACGGAGTGGACCGTAACTACTTGCGCGGCGTAATTACGCTGAATTGAGCTTGCGTGAAGCCGACGTTAATTTCTCCAATTAAAATAACCGATATTCCGACCGGTTCTTTATTCCTTTTATTCACTATTTTAATATTATTTCACGAAATTTAATAAGAGGACGCAAATAGATTAAGTTATACGTTTTCGAATAAGCGTTTTTGAAAATTTTCAAAGCACTTGATTAATTCATTAATCTTTATGTTTACTCGCATATTCTTAATTTAATCTTGAATTAAAATCCCGACGTTCCGGTGCTAATCAATCTGACGGCCGCCAACGAACGGCAGGATAGCTTCGCTATCCTCGGCCTTTCTCGCCGAGAGCTGCTCAATGGAGCGTGTCAGAGGGTGCAACCGGGAGAAACCGAGGCCGGTTGGAACGCGAGCGTGAACTGGGCCTAGGTCTCGGCGAAATTCCTTGCCGATTAATGGAGCTTGTCGAATGAAAACGATTAATAGTAGGTTGACGGGCGATGGACGAGCTCTTTTCCGAGCTCTATTAATCCCGCGGTGGCGACCGCTGAAGCGACAAGTTCGAACCGATGTTTACGCGTTCCATTTCACTCGGGAAACAGTTGTTTCCTCTCTCGAGGTCTCGAGAGATTTTTTATCAACGCGGAAAAGTGAAATTAAGACCGTGAAAGAGCAAGTGCGAGCGACAATATTAATTATGCTTTGTGAAATGAAATGCTTTTTAGAATAATTAATTAAAAATGCAGAAAAGAATAATAATAAACGAAAGTGCGCAGACTGATTTTGCGATAGTATATGAAACATAAAAGCATTTAAATAATTAATTAAACAAGATTAAATTTATGCATTACGCTGTAACAATGAAGTGAAAAGAGAAAAAAATAATTAAGAAATTAAAACAGTACATTATGTTGCATACATTAAGAGTGTTTTGAATATTAAAATAGTTATATAATTTGGCGGAATAATTAAAAGATGCAAATGAGAGAAATACGTAAGATGAAAGCAAAGAATTCCAATTATAATTGATGAGAGATTGCCACGAAAGTTTAATGATGGATTCTGAAATGATTTTTGGAATGTAACGCGATTAAGATTGACAGCGCGATAGATAGAGAAATCATTAGTGAAATTTAATTAAAGAAGCGTTTAACCTTGAAGCGAATTCGCGCGAATGAAGTTTCTAAAAGTGCGTATCGTAAAATTATTTGGAGAAGTAGAAACTCTAACAAATGACACAACGCGCGCGTTACTTTCCCAAGCGGCGCTTAGAGTTTTCAACTCCCACCTTGAACAGTACGAAGACCTCGAAGCCAGCCATGAGAAACATCGCCGCGGCACTGAGCGCGGCAAGCGGTAGCGCCCAGGGTCGTTGCTTGAGCAGGGACTTGGGGGTCGGTCGCATCTCCACCTCCTGGCTCTTCCGGACGCCCGGCGGCGTGCGAAAGACGGTGACCGTCCGGTTGGGCGCCGGCACGCTGATAACACTCGCCACGCTCGCCAGACCGTGCCCGATCTCGGACGGCACCAGGAAGAACTCCGTCGAGAGCTCGTAGTCCCGCGAGCGCGACGTCCGTGCCGCCGCGCTTCCGCTCGACGGGCCCAGCCGGCTGGCCGCGGCCGTGGCTGCCCACGACAGGATAATCGGGCCCAGCCTCATCGCGGCATCGGCGGTTGCGGTCTCTGCTCTGTCGCGTGGACTCGTGCGTGCTGGCTCGCGTGTGCTTGGCTCGCCGTCGTCGTCACCGGGATATCACGCACCGTCTCCTGCGTGCGCGCATCCTTGCAGTCACGCATCCGCTCGCGGCCTCGCGCGGTCAGGGTTCACCGGCTGCGCCTGTAATCACGCTCGTAATTAGAGGACGCCCGGCGGCTCGGACCGGCCGATCAACCCTCTCGTCGGCTGTTCTACTCTTCTGCACGGAACGCCGCGCGCAATTTGTCTCGGGCGCATAAGTCCTCGATCCGTTAGATCGAAATGACGAGCTGTCTTAATTGTTAAACGAGACGCGATGAAATTCTCTTCAAATTGACTCGAGAGCAATTCGGTTTAATTGTACAGCTTAATCCGCCGCCGCTTAATGATCGACATTTAGGAAAAACTCCGGCCTTATCGGTGGGGATCTCATTAACGGAGGAATGTTAGAGATCGCGCTAATGATTTATGATCTCTTTCCGTTGCTCGCGTGTCAAATTCGCTCATGTGGCTCGGCACACTCGTATACGCCCGAGCCTCTGGAATATAATTTTTTCAATCATATCGACTCAGTGCACATCGAGGCTATCAAGGACGTTACACCTCTCTCGGGATGCATCACGACCCGATGAGACTCGAAGACCCGCCGCGATTTATTAGAGGCGTGTTCCGGGTCTTTTAGCCGGAGCTGCGCACAATAACGTAATAACCGACGAGGTCACGACCGCGGGGCGGAAGGCGGTAAGGGGAAGATCGATGGATCGTCGTGTGTTAATGATCAATTAGGCCGCTTCTCGTGCCCGATGGGATGGGATAACGTATGAGCGATCTGCATGCGCGCCAGCGCCGTTAATTGCGACGTCGTTAATTACGAGCGTGCGCGATCCCGCTCGGAAATTGTTTAATAGTCGCGAAAAGCGAGCGGCGTTTCAAGCGTTCGTGTGTTTATCGCTCGAGCCGGGCATGACTGGTCCGCGGCGCGCATACGCCACGCGCTCACCTGGCTTAACGCCATTAATTATTACGAACAGGGTCAGCCGTAAGTAGAGTGAAGCACGGACGGAGTGAAACACGACGGAAGAGCGTAAAGAGCTGAGCGCGCTCTTTCGAACTGCGAGAAAGAATCGTTACTCGCGCCAAAGCGGAAAGTCAATCGCGCCCACGGGCTCTTATTAATTAATTTTCTTTAGCCTAACGAGAGAATAAGAAGAGAAGTTGCTAATTACAAATAATATCAATTACACAGTTGAAAGTCTCAGGACGAGACCTGTTATTGCTTTTGTATCGTTCGAAAGTTATCTGCTTTGAATTTAAAGCTTGCTACGGAGTTTTCTAACAGAAAGGACTCTTACAGGCTCTTTTTGAACATCGAGCTTTTCTCCCGTGGATCCTCGAAATTGTTCGGACTCATTCCTTCGACATGCGGTATCCTGATTCGTTATCCGGTCATCGCAGGATCTCGGTTCACCAGGTTCCTCGTCTTTCGCGCGCGCGCGTGAATTCTTTCGGTTTTTTTTTCGGGATTGTTAGATGAACGCGATAACGGCGCGGGTGGACGGTCCCCTGCGATCGGCGGAAAATTAATCGGGCCGACGACTCCGAGAACGACGACCGCGTGATCGGCCGTTAGCGAAGCGTACGTCGTGAACGCTGCGCTTCTACTGAGCTCGGCGCACTGGCATTCGCGACGGCCAAACCGAAAGCAGACTGGAGTCAGTTCCGTTCCGGAGGTGAGGCCTATCCGTTACAGAGAGAAGTCGGGGAGATGGTGATGACGATGCAGAGGCGGCGGTGGTGGCGACGGAGAGGAGCAGGAGCGGACGCTGAAAAGAAATTCTTTCACTAGCAGTGTGTGATTAAATAATATTAACTCTTTGCTGTCCTGCGGTGGATTCGACATAGTGTTTTATAACACTCCCGCGCGTAATTCTGCAAATAATTGAGGCAATACATGATTATAATTTGCGAACTTGTTTGTATGTATCTGTAACATCAATTTGGACCGCAAAAAAAAAAGAATTCAATATTTGAAATATTTCAATATTTGATATATTTCAATATTTGAAAAAAATACTGTTGCATTTCTACAGAAAATATGTGTGCAAAGGTGTTTGTGGAATAGCAGTAAATGAATAGGATTGAAGGATAGCTCTTTCGATGCAACTGAATTGATACAGAATCATCGAAGGTAACCCAAGAGGAGAAAAATTGATTTAATTAATCGAGATGTGACAGATGATTCAATTAATTTTCTAAATAAACTCGAGGGAGGGATAAAGACCAGTCGTACAGGCAGAATGACGCGATTGCACAAGCTCGCGAATTATTCACTACGCCATCCGATCCGCCCCTGCTGAGCAGAGCGAAGGAGCCGGGAAGAGGAGCGATGAGGAAGGGCCCGAAAGAGCGAAAGAGAACGAGTTGGCGGAGCTGGTCCTTCGACGTCGGGGACCGACTCCGGCGACGCATTTACATATCTTACGTGTAATAACCACGAAAAAGTTTTAACAATGGCCCGAGGTTCGCCGCGGTCGTAGCAAAAGGCGGGAAGGTGTAGAGAGGAGAGTGCGGGGGAGTCAGCATCGGGAAGGAACGTTTAACGAACTGCCTGCGATCTTGAAGGATGACAGAGGCAGGTTTGGGAATGTTTCCGAGTAGACTCTATCGATGTTTGTGAAGCTAATATCTTTACCATTAAAAATTCATAAATTTAGCATCACTTAATTTAGTATATATATCCAATTTTAACGCTTTAACTATTTAGCAGAAATTTGTGATTGAAGATGCAAGTATCTATTTGCATTTTTTCTGAATAGAAATATCGTGAATCGATTTAACAGGAAATTTTACATAGAATTTTATTCATTTTTTCAACTGTGAATTTAAAAAGATTATTTTTATGTCTTCACGAGGAAACAATTATAAGATTTAATTTTCAAAATTTAATTTTGTTTACGAAATCTATGGATTATATACGATCTATCGAGACTTAAAAAGTTAATTAGCTATCAAAACTACTTTTCGACAAAAACTGTTTTTTTTTTTAACAAGCAATGGCAACTTAATGGACATAAAATCTCGTAAAAATTTATTATACGTGTTAAATTTTGCTCGTTCTCGCAACTTGATAGCTAGAATAATCTCGCCAAACTGCAGCTTAACTTAAAGACGTAATTCCTAAGGACGGGTACCAGCGCGCTACCAGATTGAACGTTTGCTGGTACACGCGTCGCGCAAAAAACGCGCAAAATTGTAACCGTTGCTCTGCTGCAAAAGGGTTCGTCTCGTCGGATCCTCCCAGTAAAAAGTAGGATGCGGATTCGGAACTTCGAGTTTCGAAGGTTCGATATTTATGTTTCTCGTGAGGAAGAAAGAGAGAACGCGTACCTGTTGGCGATCTGTGTAACACAGATGCAGGATGTACGCTTTTTCGCTTGTTCGCGAGCGCCATAAAAACGCGCGTAAAAATTCCCCGTGTATTCCCGCTCGCGTATCGCGCCGTAAATCGGCTGGAGAAAAAAAGGGGGCCTCGCGGTTAAAAAACGAGGACCGACGACCGCAACCGTGTACTCGCCGAGTGCGTTTCGATAAAGTGAACAATAAGAGACGAAACGCCGGCAAAAAATAACGAGCATACACCGTAAGCAAATCTCATTGCGCGATGAACATCTTTATTTTTGCAAACGTTTATCTCTTTTTTGCCAAATAAATTAGCATAGAATTTTTAAAGCCGTTGTTATAACAAATTTCTTCTTTCTTTTCTCTCTTATTCTCACGTTATTTTTTAAAATTATATATATATATATATATTAAATTATATATATATTAAAAATAAATATGACAAAGAACAAATATTTTATTATCTATATTAAGCCATGCATTACAGCTTTTTTATATCTAAATTTCATTATTATCATTTAATTGATACAATCAAATTACTGTAATTAAATTTAATTACGGAATTTAAAAAGAAAATGAGAAAATGAGCAAAGAGGTAGTCCGCATTTACTTTCGATGTTTCGCGAAAGAAAGAGGAAAAGAAAAAGAGAGAATCGCCGCATTGCAGCCGGTGGCAGCGGCGACATTGTTGTGGGAGAGGCAAGAAACGCGAGGTATGTTCGCTATCGCGTGTGCGATGTGGCAAGAGGTGGCCGTACGAACGTACGGTTTGTCCGGTTTTCGAGACAAAGAGTTCGTCGAACCCTGGCCGGGTTCGTTCGATCGGCGGCACGGCTACCGAACGTGCCGCGTACGTCCGGCCCGTCGTCGATCTGCGTGACGTGCGACGCGCGCACCCACGTGCGATCTTAGCGTGCATTGCTCGCACGTGTCGGAAGAAAGATCTCACGAGAAAGAGAACGAGAGGTTTTCTCGATCGGCAGAATCACGGAGGATCGATGGCTTCGCGATGAATCAGCATTTTGGAAAAAATAATTGTTTCGAAAGTTTATTTAAAACATTTAAAATAATATTATTTTAAGAGTTTTAAAAATGAAGAAGAACAATTTGTTTTCTTTTTATATAGATTTTAAACTTATTTTGTATTTTATTTTATTACACAAATATTAAGGATTTAGAACCGATTGGAAAGTGATTCTTGCAGAGAGGATCGGAGAACGACTTTTTTCCAAGTGTCTCTACTAGAGAGAGCAATGTCTGGCCGCACCCGGTCACTTTCTCCTTCGAAGACAAAGTCATTCCGGTACTATAAGTTACTACCCTTAAATGACGCAAGCAGCCCACGCGATCTAGCGTGAAGCACGTAGTGCGCTTTCATTTTGGACGGGGCCGGTGAGAGGCAGAAATGAAAATTACAGGGCGCAAGAAAGAGTAATTAAGTCGCCAGTGGCGGTCAGGTAGCAAATTGCGTGATCGGCCCTGACCGAATTTCGATAGTTCCGAAAGAAGCACGAAATCCTTGTCCATGGAACAAGGAACTTGAATTGCTTCACGGAAGATCGCATTGAATCTTTCTCGACATGTTCGTTATTTTGTATAACATTGTTCACACTCGATATCTTTAATTTAAAAAACAATGCAATTACAAATTATTTTTAATGATTTATTATTATAAAAAATACTAATATCTATTCGATTTCTGAATGAAAAAAAAAGGATTTATGTCTTTTAAAAGATAAAAATTTATTCTTGGATTAACACACAATATTTTTAAAAATCGCAAATTTTTAAATTTACATTACACAAACATTACATTTTTCTCTTGCCAAAAATATTGTTGAAATATTATTTATACTATATATTTTATTTTTTAAAAGTATTTTGAAAATTATTATTAATTCAGTCGTAGCATTATGCATACGGACAAGCAGCGCATGACAGTTTATTAAAAAATAAGCAATTAAATAATTTTTTATCTAAATTGAATCACTCGCCGATTATCATTATGGTCAAATGTGGTTCTACCACAGCGACGATTTCCGGCTAAAAGAAACAGGCTCTCGGGATGTGCCGCTTCATTCGGCCGTGCGAAATTCCTTCCTGCGCCTTAGGGGAACCCTAAAAGTTGCAGCGCGCCGAACCACGAATTATCTTTTTCTCTTTCTCTCCCGAAGGCAGAAGAGGAGTCGCTTGTAACCGGTTTCGACACACCGAAGCTAAAGGTAGGCGCAACCTTCTCCAGCAGGGAGGACAATGTTGTGTCGATAATTGCGCTCTCGAAAAATTGCAAATTTGTATCGCGTTATCGCCATCTAGAACGATTCTGAAAACTCGGCGACATTCTTGTTGTCGCGGAACAGTATCACTTCCAGGACGAAGGATACAAAGACGGCTGGGAAGATTCGCCGCCATTAAATTTTCAACACGTATTCGCGTCTATAATTAGAAAACACAAAGATGAAAAAATATCGGAGATTTCAAGGAAGAGGCTCGTTATGCGATCTTGGTCGTCGAGCGCGAGATCGCAGCCCCCCGAGCGGTAACAGCATGGAGCGAGCGAGGGAAGGATCTACTCCTCAGAATCTGCATCCTTCCTCTCTCGTAACTCAACCCTTTGATTTTCCTCCCCCCTGTTCTGCGCCGCGCGGGTTTGACGGGGCGTCGATAAATCGAGGCTTCCATCGCGATTCATTTGAATATAAATCCGACTGTCTACGCTCTTTCTCTCCCGCTGGAGGAGATTCTCCGCGCGGGATCGGAAAAGAACGATAACGCTAAGGACGACCGGAATGGACGGAGCGGGGAGAGAGAGAGAGAGAG